GATTACCGTTTATTTCTTTATACCTAGTTTTATAGCAGTTAAGTAGCAGAAACTGTTAAGATCACAAATGGTACGTCTACCCTATTTATTTAAATATGTTAATCGAGGGTTGGAAAAATGAAGCATAGATTTATTACTATGTTCTTGTCAATCAAAACAGGTCAAGAATCATTGTCCCAAATTGTATAGTGCAAAAGGATACGTGCGCTGGAACACTATAGCGCAACAGGCATGGCGGCAGGACTTTGAGTACTTTGAGTACACCGGATAGGTCGAGGCGTGCAGCGCGAGGTGGGGTGACGCTGTCTCGCGCACGGCGGCGTGCGTGTGCCACGGGACAGCCACGGGAGGACGGGACGGGACGCGCAATGGCCGCCGTGACCCGACGTGCGGCGGTTCAGTGTCAATCGTCCTTAATTTTCCCGTTTTAATTCGTCGCTGGACGCCTACGAAAATGCGCGCTACCTGCCAGTCGTTCGGGCTCTGCGACACGGTGTGCATCGTCGATCGTCCTCGGACTGTCCTCGACGAATCGAGCAGGGAACCGACGTGGACGGCCGAGCGTGCCTGTCGGAAGACGTGTAACAAGCTTTTCCGTGGATAAAATCGGAGGTAGCGAGCCAGTGAGCACGAACAACCGTCCAGTGCCCCCGTCGCGCGGTGTTTCGTGAAAGTGGCCAGTTTGGCGGCCGATTTTTGCCCGCGAGGAACAGTCCGCGTCGGGAGGAAGTGTCAATTGACGTGCTTAACGCGCGCGCTGCCGCTCGGGACGAAAGAATTTCGGAGACCGTGCGTACGCGGTTCCGTTACGGAGACTATTTTTAGTGACACTGCAGTGAAATCAGGCGAGTCTAGTGTCAAGAACTCCAAGGAGTACACGTGCTGGATGTGTACCGTCTGATAGCATCTCACGCGTGAAAACAATATTGTGACTCGGGTAACTGATAGTGCGAGAGGTGTGAGAATCACTGAGGAGCAACAAGTGGCCGCCGCGTGGACGAGGGATGGGGAAAGCTCGTAGTGAGCTTTGAACCACGCGTGTTTGCCGCGTGGAAAAAAGACGGTCGGGGCTCGAAGGGCAAGTATAATAATGGACAGGCTGAAAACCGTTTGAACCTTTCAATGCTCTTACAACGTCCCCTGACTGCAATTAGTTTCGCGCTTAGGAATTATTCGATTAATACGTTAAATGCTAATACTTTTTTTTAGGAAATTTTATTGAGATACGAACACATTTTTACAGTTACGTAATTGTTGCTCTAATTTGCAAAACAAAACTTAAATGTTAGTCGTATTACGTATGAAATGTATTTAAAAGGAAAGGAATTGGAAGAATGCAAATGAGGATTGCGTATGAATATTGTATAACATTTCTTTTCCTGGTGATAACTACTATGTAAGGAGAGCATTCATCGTCTAGCTAGCGTAGAACCGGAAATGTTTTATTGGAGCTGTAGTAACAATGTATTCGTTGGAAACGAAAATAATTAAGTATATATGTATCAGCTCAATATTATTTTCTACGATCTGGTTGCATAATAACATTCATTCCCATAATGTAAATTAATTAAATTTCCTTATACCAAAATACATTTTCTCTCTGGCTTTCTACTTTTTATCGTTTCCCCTTCTGCCAATTTGGCAATATTCCTTCGTGAAAATCGTGCAAATACGAGGCGGCTTTAGCCGTTCACAGCCCGATGAGTAATGCTGGCAGTATGTCGATTTATTCGAATAACTCGCCTAATGGGCGCCTTGAGTTAATCATATCGGGGATGGACTTAAAACGCCGTCGGTGTACTCTCGCTCGTGCGAGAATAAATTAGGAAGTGCTCGCTATAATCGAGCTTTCTATCGGTTAATTTCTACGGATTGCGAACAAAAACAACCGTATCCAACACTTAATTGTGACAGGATACACGGTGCCATAAATATATATGCGAAAGTCGATCGTGGTATCTAGGAAAGCGGCTCCTAGATACATTTTTTTAATACCGGATCACGTTCGCGCGCTGAAACACGAAAACTAGATCTTAATAACCAGTTTGACAAGAACGGGGCATAAAAATAACATTTTCAAATTGTATTTTATTATTTATATTATAATAGTTCCACCTTCCGTGTCTCTTAATTCCTCAGCTTCTTATCTGTACTCAGTACACACTGTTTACCTTCTTTCTTCCTGTGTGCAGTTCACGGCACTTTATCTTATGTCATGTTCCTCCTTCATGTGTGTACCTTCTCCTTGTCTTAAGAACCACTGCAGAATAAAAACTCGTCAAGATTTATGATACTGCAATTAGATTGTACGCTGCTTAAAAACTTCTATCAGGGTTCTTAACCCCTTCCCGTGCCATTTAGCTCGACGAAACTATCTGTACTAATTATAAGTACTATCTGTACTAAGTATCTGTTCGCGACTCAGACGCGTGATATTTATGTTTGCCCCACGTATCTGGTCGCGAGTCAGACTCGCGATATTCATATTTGGGCAAAAATCTTCATCGCGAGTCTGAGTCGCTAAAGTACGGGAAGGGGTTAATTTCAAATTAACCACCCTGTAGATATAGCTTCCTACTTTTCATGCATTGCTTGATACCATGTATAATGCAACGCACACTTACACCGTATAGAAACTGCAGAACAGATGAGCGTAACGTACATATATGCATACATTGGTTGTATATATTCATAAATTCAAAACGCACCGTGTATAGAACGAGCCATTTCTGTTACCGCAATGACGAGATTATGCATAGTATAAGAACTTAAGAATTCTGTTAATTCACCGTTAGTTCAGGCTCGCCTTCGTCATCTGCTATGCGAAACGACATTAGAATGCAACACAACGGTTCGGTTTATACCCTAGAAAAATGATTGATTATATTAATTGGGCAACAAATTAGAGAAAAATTAATCAGTATATAAATTGTTGAGTTTCGTGTTTTTCATATTAAAAATTGGAAAGCGTTAATAAGCTTTTGTGTAACTGAGCTCGTTATACCGTTGCCGCAGGTATGGACATCGAATGTAGCAATTAGCTATTCCGAAACGACGGGCCAGCAAACCGTAAACCGCGTAATCAACGACAGGGTGCAACCGAGAAATGTTACTTTCGTTGGTCGCGGGGAAATCGAGCAACGATTGCAGGGAACGCGGGAAAAGTGTTGCAAGGCTACGGGCAACCGGTGGAACGACAAAGCAGCTGAGAAAAATCGAACGAAGTCATTAGTACGAAACGAGCCGCGGAATCCGGCGAACATTAGGACGCTGTTCTATAAATAAGAATTCCCGAGAGGGACGCGAAGACTACGCGCGGATGAAAACTCTTTTGTACGTATGAATGGGTTCAACGTGCAACAAAAACGAACGTACTCAATGAAAAGACTGAGCCATTAGTTACACGGACGGAGAGTAGCGCCTGGAACGAATTCAGAAGTATTTACTACATCAGAAATTGCCAACTAGGAAAATTGTATGGAAGGCTCGGACGTTTTTATTTATATATAAAATGGAACATGAGTAATCGCGTGTTTTTGCGATTACGATATTCAACCTGCTAAACCTGTCTCTATTTACAAGGAAGAAGCGACCAAGTGAGTCAGAGAGTATCAGCGTTGCAAAGCCGCAGCTCGTGCGTAACTACGGAAACGAGCTCCTTCTCAAGTGCTGACGTATGTTTAATTAACAATAATTGCTTGTCGCATTTTCATAATACTAAACGACGAAGAATTCTATCGAGCGACATATATGATCGCGCGAAGCGACGAACATTTGCTTGAAACATGTCTTCGGAGGGAGAAGAGGCTCGGTCGGTAGTTCCATGGTACGCGAAACTCTTCGAGTACTGGCGAAACAGGAACCGGGTGGGTCCGAGCAAAGTAGAACTCACGGACTGCGACTTCTTCATCGTTGGCCCGCGGCGAACCTTGAGGATCTTGAAACCAAGCTTGAAGACCGGCTGGTATTACGAAAATACGAACGATAGGCCAGAATCGATAATCGATAATTTTTTTACTCGCTGGTCCAGGCGACCTCACTCCTCGGGGAACTGCAGATGCTCCTTCAGACAGTCGAACCGAGTGAGCACCGCCGAGGAGCAGATCATTTCTGAAGAGTTGAACAGGATCAGGACGAGTCTTTGCGAAGCTGAGAAGAACGAACGCGCGATCGAAGAACTCGAACAGAGGGTGTCCGTGAATTTGCAAAAGCTTCAGGTCCCTGGATTGGAGAACGAAGGATTGACGAAAACGGAGGAGAGGGAGACGAAAGGCACGGTTCAGGTGAACGAGCACCAGCAACAAGCGGACGAACAAGCGATCAAAAATAAAATCGTGAAAGACCTGGAGAAGTATATCAACGTGTTGCTGGAAGAGATACTGGACGACACGGTGAGGTACATCGCCGGCGCAGAGGATACTCTTATCAAGGATGTCAGGGATTCTAGAAAGAGAAACGACTGTACGACGTCCCGGCGATCGGCCGGAGATAAAGAGAAACCGGCGAACGAATCCTCTAACGAGGAAACGTTCAACGACATCAGCTTCTCGTTTCACCCGGAGAGGAACGAGAAGGGACCGAAGAACGAGAACAACGGAGGTTACGTGAATCGCGGCTTTATCGGCACGACGAATCAGCCGGACTCTCTGGACTTTTATTTGAGACGGTCCATCGGTACGGAAGTCCTGGAGCAGTTGGACTGCACCGATTCCGGGATAAACAGCGTGGAGACGATCGAGTTCCAGCCGGATCAGGAGCCGAGCCTGGAGCAGTCTTTGCTGAGGATCATCGACGAGAAACTCGGCAGAACGGGCTTGGGGAACAGTTGGGAGGACTTGAGCGGCACAGGTGGCCAAGAGAACGACGCTCGGGGCCGGTCGACAAAGGGAACGGAGGTTCTGAGAAGCGGCGGGCAGCTGAGCAACGATCGAGGCACCGAGGGATCGGAGGTCACCGGGAAGAATGATGCGGAAAGGAGCGTCGAGCCGCGGGATTCGAGCGGAGGAATCGATATCTCGTCGGATAATCTCGCGAGCGGCGTGCCCGCGGCGGATCTCGAGAAGCTGGAAGAAACTGTTAACGAGCCCAGTTTCGAGAAACTGCGGCTGGAATTCAAGGACGACCACGAACCGTCCTTCGGGGCCAAAAAGGGTAACGCAAGACGAGAAAAGTTTGCCACGAATCCGACCACTGATTCTGTGGATGTGAAATTGGGAGCTCTCGATGCGAAGAAAGAAACCGTGTCTATCGAGTTGGAAGATTATAGGAAAACGTGGCCGAACATTGATGAGACGGAGGACGTGGTTACGATTCGCAGGAACAGAAAGCCGATGATTGTGTTCCTACACGGTTTCGGCTCGTCCGCAGAGATCTTCGAGCACCAGCTTCGCTACTTTTCCGCCTTGGGCTATCCATGCATCGCGCCTGATATGTTGGGCCACGGGATGAGCTCCGCGCCCGGTCGATGCAGGGATTATCACTTTAACAAGTTGTTGAAGGACCTGGACACCGTACTCTGCCACTACGCGTTCAAGCCCGGCCAGAAGTGCGTCTTGGTCGCGCATAATTATGGGTAATTATACATAATTCCATTTTTATCATATTAAAATTATTTTCAATTCCATATGAAAACATGATCGTAGTAGATATCACAATCAGTGTCATGTTACCTATGTGGCTTCGTCCTTCACTACCAATTGTCGCGTGCATTTGTATGGCGATTGAAATCATTTCATTATCGCAATTGCCAGTGCCTTATATCACCTTTAACTAGCGATCATTCTGCTTATAATTATTTAACACTGCGATACTTATAATTAAATTCGAAATTATTATATACCTGCAAGTCATCTTCCATTTTATTAAAATTATCCGTGGATCTAACAATTATCTGGATTCTGCGATCTCTGAATAGGTTCTCGAAGACGTAGCTGACATTGATCATTTTCTCAGGTTCGCATAATCTGGCCCGAGGAACGCGGCGCATTTTAACAAAGCGACGTTCATTATAGAATTATTTGACCGTGACTAGTGGAAACCGCGGCCGGTAATCGCTTAACTTATCTTCGACCGTTTAAAAGCATCTGGTGTAATGTAATTGCTGGGTACACGCGAGTCCCGTGTGTTGTGCCTTATCGGATATCTGTAGATCGCGGAATTCCCTGACGTTTGAAATCCGTTGCGCATTCGGGCAACGCGTTTTCACCTGACAAAACGGCTAATGGGTGAACCTGAACGCGCATTTAATCCGCGTGCCTCGAGTTCTTCAGATTCGTCGCTGTGATCGATTCATTTTTAACCCGCGTAAACCTCGAACGGGCATTCTAGTAGTTCTTATAACGTTCCGCGTACTTGAGCGCTTTTTGTCATATTCCCTTCGAGAAAATTACGGTTTATCTCGTGCCAAGCGATGTTATGTTGATGAGAACTGCCGGCCGGCCACTAAAAACAAATGACTGTTTTTGCATCATAATAGCAAAAACGAGGCACGACGAACTTTCCCCTGTCGGAATTAATACATTAATTAGGGAGATACAGTGAGCTTCATTAATATACGGACACATTTCAAAATGCGAGACCTTTTAAAATGTCGGATCGAATAACTTTAATTTCTTCGCGTGCATTTGTATGGCGATTGAAATCATTTCATTATCGCAATTGCCAGTGCCTTTATATCACCTTTAACTAGCGATCATTCTGCTTATAATTATTTAACACTGCGATACTTATAATTAAATTCGAAATTATTATAAACCTGCAAGTCATCTTCCATTTTATTAAAATTATCCGTGAATCTAACAATTATCTGAATTCTGCGATCTCTGAATAGGTTCTCGAAGACGTAGCTGACATTGATCATTTTCTCAGGTTCGCATAATCTGGCCCGAGGAACGCGGCGCATTTTAACAAAGCGACGTTCATTATAGAATTATTTGACCGTGACTAGTGGAAACCGCGGCCGGTAATCGCTTAACTTATCTTCGACCGTTTAAAAGCATCTGGTGTAATGTAATTGCTGGGTACACGCGAGTCCCGTGTGTTGTGCCTTATCGGATATCTGTAGATCGCGGAATTCCCTGACGTTTGAAATCCGTTGCGCATTCGGGCAACGCGTTTTCACCTGACAAAACGGCTAATGGGTGAACCTGAACGCGCATTTAATCCGCGTGCCTCGAGTTCTTCAGATTCGTCGCTGTGATCGATTCATTTTTAACCCGCGTAAACCTCGAACGGGCATTCTAGTAGTTCTTATAACGTTCCGCGTACTTGAGCGCTTTTTGTCATATTCCCTTCGAGAAAATTACGGTTTATCTCGTGCCAAGCGATGTTATGTTGATGAGAACTGCCGGCCGGCCACTAAAAACAAATGACTGTTTTTGCATCATAATAGCAAAAACGAGGCACGACGAACTTTCCCCTGTCGGAATTAATACATTAATTAGGGAGATACAGTGAGCTTCATTAATATACGGACACATTTCAAAATGCGAGACCTTTTAAAATGTCGGATCGAATAACTTTAATTTCTTAAAAAATTCCTATTCATCGCAATTTCCAAGAAAAAAATAAATAACATGTAAAACTTTGTACGTGCAACTAACTTATAATTAAATCTACTAAAAGCATGTTTTATATTTTTATTGGAGACTCGAATTAAAAAAATTAAGAATGTCCTTTACTTTCTTTTTTGCAATTCTGACTGAAACTAATTGTAAGCCTTGTAACATCTTACAGAAAATTGTTTGGTCCAATGTTAAGAAAGTTATTCAGTTTGAAACATGACCGAATGTTAATGGAAGTACATGTATACAGAACGTCTTCAATACTCGTTTTGTTGAATCATTTATTTGTGTATTTATTTTTTGAGGTCTATTGGAACTGAAAATTTAATGGGCGATTAAAATTCATGCTACCTCGCGAGAGCTTCCTGGCTTTTATTGTGCAAATCGTTAATGAATACGGTCACTCGGCTGGCAATCGCGACCTACACGAGACGCGCGGTGCCGTAATAACGAGTTCTATTAATTCTCCTCGCAACATTGCGACACGACATGTAGGCCGTCGACTACGTCCACGAACCACGTACTTACGGTTCAATAGCCGAAGATTAACACCTATATGTATATCCTACATGCATCGCGAGGAACACGGGTTAAGACGCGTAATGTACGCAGTATAAATTACGCGCGCACGGAAAGCACGTCGCGTATTAAACGAGATTGCTGGATTCTGTTAACGAGCTATTAAAATCCGTTAAAAGACATCTAGCAGAGTTCATCCGTGTTGTAATGCAATGACTCCTTCATTATTAAGATTTTATGAAGTAAGCTTTACTAATACATTGTAAGTGAATTTATTCTCGGCTTATCTTATCCTCAAGCAATGCAATATTTGTACAAATACCGATGAAATACGTTTTAAAGAATAATTCATTTACAGATTTATTAATACAAAGAATCTTACAATCAATTTGTTCTTATCTCGGATTCAGACTGGAAAACAAGGAAAAATCAGGTGTTTTCTCAGAATTAAGTAGATACAATAAGATCAGGTCGCGATTGTCCGATGGTCTCGATTGTTATCGAGAATCTCAGTTATGCGGACTCTTGTGTTTAATGTCAATGAGCGGTTTTGTTGTTCTAACACAGAATACCTACATTTTTAACATTGGTCAGGTCTCGTTTATTTAATCTTGATTTATGAATCAGAACTATCAACTGAGCTAGCATTCTCTATTTTCTTTTAAAATATACACACGTGTCCACATTATTATCGTGTAATTTTTTATTGGATCATTCTCCATTAATTGCAGTTGCAGTTTCGCGGCGGCGTTGGCTTGCAAATACGAAAATAGCATCCACCAACTAGTCCTGATATCCGGAGGTGGCCCGACGCCGTTAGCGGCGCCCAGCACTGAAAGCACCGGTCGCTGTTTTCTGCGAGCGATCTTCGCACCTTTCTTAATGTGCGGCCTTCACAGGGACATATTGTATTCCGCGAGGGGCCGTCAACACCCTTACTGCGGTCCCGAGCCGCCGGAACAATGGCCCTCGCACATGAAATACGTTTTGGACGGCATGGTCTGGCCGGAAGGGGACTACGTGTTCCATAGAAGGATATGTACACCGACGCTTCTCATACATGGCCTAAGGGACAACAAAGTGTCGCTTGTACAGGAATGTCAAATGGAAAGGGTACGTTCTTTTACCTCTTTCCAGGTAGACTAACCACGTACAGTTATGCTCATATTGTGCAATGTGTAAGCACGATCGTCATTATGGTCGAAGATTGCGTTAATGCAGTATTTAATTATATTGATAGAATTTGGGATCGTCAATTGATGTATTGGTAGACTGCGGATTTTATGCATTTATCCAATAATTTCTGAAACATTCATCTATAAATCTCAGTGTAGATTGCACTTTATAAATCGATATCACAATTGCTTATTTTGCATAAAAATACGTAGTCTAGTAATAATTTACACGGAATATAATCTCAGTGGTTTTATTAATATAAAGTATTGCTAGATCGTCAGAAGACATCCAGATCTTAAAATAATGTTTTCATTTCATTTCTCAGTTGTTGATTGTAATTATTACGTTTGACATTTTTTTTAGACCATGGTGAAAGGTTTCCTTGAGGCAATCCCGACCGCCGGTCACAATCCCATGACTGACTGCCCGGAGCAGGTGAATCACATGATACACTGTTTCATAGACTTGTGGAAGAACAAAAAATGGTAGAAACGTAATAAATAAGTTGACGCGCTTAGGACATATTTAAATCAAGTTCTCTGTACGGGTATTTGTACGTGAATGATGAATGAAAGAAATTAAGGAGATCAAAGGAAAATTGTAGGGTGCCTTCGTAATTTGTACATACGATTCAGCGGTGAAAATTCGTTTGTATAAAGTGTTTTATACGATTGCAATGAAGTAACCGATTTTTATAGAATCCTTTTTTTTATATCAATTTTCACGTCTAGTGTTGCATAGTCAGAAAATTAACCGGATGCATCGACGTTCACGTAGTTTTATAAGTCTGCTGAGTAACTGTGCCAAAACGTATACACGGAACGTCGTGTATGAACGTGCGGAACCCGAAGGAGGTCCGGTTTGTAAATGAGATGTGTAAAATGTAAAGTAGAGGCTATGTAGCAGCGCATAAGTTATACCAAAGATGATTTTATACAATGTTATTTTATGTATTCTACCGGAGTATAACTTATTCGTTTACAATAAAATTGTGTACAGATATTTGTTTTCCGATTTATGATTACATATTAATGAGTCTCGCGTTCCACGTCTAATCATTCGTAATGTTTTATGCGTGTTTAGGTTCCCAGTTCCCATTTAACGATCACTGATTCAGAAGTAACTTTTGATTGAGCGGATTCTCCGACGATTTCATCCATTCTTTCTTCAGAATTTGTTTTAATTGACTTAACCTGAGCGTAGGGTTTTGCTCCTTAACAATAGGCATCATCCTCTCCTCGAAACTAGCGTATGCGGCCTTTACGCGTTTCTCCGGATGGTGATCGACCTCTGGTTCCTTTGTACTGTAAAACAAAAGAATAATATTTAATATTACAATTATTTCATTTGTAAAGAATTTAGTCGGCGATCCTCACCTTAAAACAGATAAAGCCTCGTCTATGCCGTGAGCAGTTTCACCCTCGATCGTTAGCCTATTTAAATTTTCCTCGAGCGGTGTTTCCTCCTTCTTCTTCAACGCGACTTGATTTCGTTTCTCTGTCACGGAGACAATTTCTGCTCTCGTTATCTTAGCCGCAGGTTGCTTACCACCCACTTTTATATTTGCCATTTCTTTTTCAAGAAGAGCTTTCACTTCCGCTTTCTTCTCTAATTGCTGTTGCCGCTTCTTTTCTATTTCTTCCTATAAAATTGATTTAAAGAGATCGTAACGTGTCTATATAGGAAGATTTGATAAATTCGAATCAGTACCTGTTTCTGTTTCTTTTTTAATAATTGCCGGTCATCGTCCTGCCAAGCCTTTTCTTCTGCCTCGAGTGCTTTCTTCGTGCTCTCGGCCTCTTTCGCCGCAGCTTTCCTAGCCCGCGCGGCGACAGCTTTGCTATTCTCACCGACGAATTTTTTCGGCATACTGATCTAAATTTTACCGCAAGCGTAACATTACTTGGAGAAATTTATTATTAGACTTTGTGAACAATCGAATAATTCGCGGGAACGTAAAATTCGATTAGGGTGATGGTTGGTAGCACTGCCACACGTGCGCAGACGGTGTTAATCGCCTTGGGACTGTGTTGAGGTTAAAGAATCAATGGTATTGAATTTGAAAATTATCTTGGCCAAAAAATTATCTCGCGCGTGATTCGATAAATAGCGAATGAATTGGCATTACACTGGTACGCGCGTTCGCAAAGGTATTTTGCGATATCTCACGGACACTCGCGGTATGCCGAAACACGGATCAAAGAAGGGTGCAAAAGCTCCGAAAGTGGCGGTGAACGAGGTTAGTATGTGGCGCGAAGCAGTGTCTTACCGGCTCCGGTTGCGATGATCAAAACTTATCACCGTGATCGTGATCCGATCACCTATTAACACCTTCCGTGCGGATGACGGCATATGACATCGTAAGGCGCCATCTACAAGGAAAAGTGTTGTCAAACGTACACGCAGTCTCGCCGGTTCACCTCGTTGGTATTTAATTCATTTAATATGAAAGGGAAGGTGCAGATTACGGGCTCGAAACAACTGCGTGTACGCACCACTTCACTGATTTCTTTAGGGGCTAACTCTTCATACTCTTAATGATCTATACGTTAATTACTTACTATATCCGCGTGAAGCTCGATCGTGATTGGTTGTACATATGGCGGGCTTGGGATAAGGGTAGATCGTGTTTCTTAATTTCATTGTCGGGTCGTACAGAAAATTATTTCTTGCTTGATATCAGTTAGGAACTATATATCTTGTCATCTTTTAATCTAATCATCGTTTTATAATTGAAATTATAATCTTCCTGTATTTTGGAAATAGTAGGGACATATTACCGTGGAAATGTAAAAAAGCTACGTGCAAATAATGCCGTCAGCGATTCAAGGATAGATGATTGTCCTATTTCAGATTTGAAGTCTTAATAAATGTTGTACGAAACGTTACATAAAAAGAATGACAGATCATTGAAATTTTAACAGTTACTAGATATCACATTAATAAAACACTTCAAATATTGGACACGGCCTTTTATTGTATCTCCTAAACTTTTGGTAGAGATCTCACGACTTATACAACCTTAATCTCTTATAATAGAACATCATGCGCTTACGTACATAAAAATACAGATTTAGTCTGCTATTTGTTTATTCCCGTAGCTTATTCTCATTCGTTCTTTACTAGACTTTGTAGAATATTTATACATATATGTGTGTCATTATATCTGTTTTGTTGATTTGTCGTCAATATTTTAAATAATATTTTAATGCAACCAGTTTTGTTTGCATTTACTCCCTAATGGGTTGAACTTTGATAGGGACCCAAGGGGCCTGTGAGTGTAAATAAAGATGGAAATGTTACTATAAAAATTGCAGCAAAACCTGGTGCAAAGCATAATAGTATAACAGGTGATACTGCTTGTTTAAAGCGACCTTAAAAGGAGGATAACAGATGTTCAAAGGTGCGAATTCCTTTGTAGGTGTTTCTGAGGATGCGGTAGGCGTCGCGATTTCCGCGCCTCCGGTTGAAGGTCAAGCGAACACAGAACTTGTAAAATATGTAGCTTCAGTATTGGGAATGAGAAAGTCTGACGTATCGTTAGACAAAGTTCGTACACTGTTCCATAAAATTTTACTGTTTTAAGGTCTCTTTTAAATGACTGTCCTTTATAGGGTTCGAAAAGTCGACAGAAAGTTGTGGTAGTGGAGAACACCACTGTGGAAAAGGTTTTGGAAAAATTAAAGGGACAAGAGGGAACATCAAAATAACAGTTTACTACAACATTCCCATTTTTTCATCATAATGATTATTTCTTTTTTAATATTCGTAATGTTATACTCCTCTTAATAATAAGACATATTTACTGTACATAAATATGGCCATCACTTCAATACACGAACATGTTTGATTATTTTATACAATAAAATAGAATCTTTATACAATTGTTACCTCGTAAAAATGATTCGTTAATAATAAGATTATTTTCAGCATTTAAAACCGCTCTGTTCATTTTTACACTTAACATCCTCGTTCGAAATATTATCTGCAATACTTTTTTAAGTATTAAAAGTATCATAAATATTTTTAACTAGTCATAGACATTTACAAGATATCAACGAAGTTGATTCGTTTATAAGTACGTTTAATTACTTCTTTTTACTAAACGAATCTCGTTTAGCTGACTTGTGAGTTTGATTCGAGTATAAGTTTTGTTATAAGCGTATTAACTTTCTTCAATTTACAATACCGCCGTCACAAGTGTGAAAGTTGATCCGACCTTCACTCTTGTATTTCGAATGCTTTGTCGTCGAGCCACGGCCGAAATATCGGCAACGTTGACGGGTAATGCGCGCCTCTTTTCGAAGGCGCGGTCCCTGCTGGTGCACCTTCCTGTCTTAGAGGATAAGTGGCCAGGACGATTGGTATTTGAAGCTTAATCTCTTTATCCAAGCTCTTCGGGCTTATCACAAACTATAACATAATGAAAAACTTCATAAAAATGTAATTATATTGGGTTGGCAAGAACGTGATTTCAGTTTTAATAGTATGTATTTGTAAGTAAATTTGGTAAAAAGATTTTAAGAAAATTTGGTATAAGTGTATAAGAATCGAGTATAACTGTGACGATCATTGGCATGCATTTAGGGCAAAATGTCTGTGAACAAAGAATGGTATTGTACAATGGCACAGAAGTCGAGAAAGTTGGTAAAGTATGCATTTCGTGAAAGTAGAAATTTTTAAATAAACTATGTCCTCTCTCAATTTCTCAGACAAACATAATTTCAAAGCATGAACCCGGAGCACGTTTGAACTCAATGAATAGTACTTTCATGATTGAAAAAGGGGACCGTATAAAAGAAGCTTGCAAACGACGCATTTACTCGCGCGCCACGTGTATAATCGTAATTACAGTAATAACAGCTTTCGTTTTTACTCACATAGACGTGATAAAGGACGTTGATGAGATGGCAGCCACGGAGATTGGTAGGCGGCAGGGGTGGTACGTACATCTGTTCGTTCAACCACTCCTCGCCTTCGCCCGGGCGAATTTTACCCCTGGAAACGCTCGCTAATTCTCTCGTCTCGCTCGCTAGCACTTTGCCACGGCATAAGTACTGAATCGTCTCGGTCAACGATGCTTTCGTCGATTTTATCGTCACCTGTTGAATCATTTTCAGTCCTGCTTATACCTTTCGATGATACAAGCTTTTAACGTTGTATTTAAAAATAATTTTAAAATAAAGAAGTGAATTATTAGATTCTTGTATTTTATTAGCTTCCTAAATTCTTGCAAGACAACTTGCTTTCTTTGCTGATGTATTGAATTGAGAGAATGTTCACCTTTCGAAAGCAGTATCATATTAAGTTGATCTAAGGTAGACATTCTTTTCGGGATCGAAATACGATACGTACTTTGCTCCGATTGCTGACAGTGGCTGAAATGCCGATAGTCTCGCCAGGTACGTATCCGCCTCTATCGAGACTCACCCTGCAGAATACAGGGCCACCGGACACGCAGGAGACTCCGACTCTCTGCTCTATTTCTTGCCTCGCTGGTTGCTATTTCAAAAAGAAAGAAAAGAAAATTGCATACATTCTTTTTTAACGATTTACGTTCTTGCAACCCTAGATCATTGAATTTCTATTTGTACCGGCTACTTCTGGATTATGCAACGCGAGGTGTGTGCAACGAATGTAACTATACAGTTGAATCAACAATGCGGTCGCGTTCGCAGCTGAATGTCACGTGCCTACGTAATAATTATCTTATGTTACACGTTATCTGGCATGGTGTGAACGTGTTTCTCGGATCTGAGAACTACTTCCCACAAAACTTGTACCTCTAAACAAATGCCACTTCCTCGGCATATTAAAAAGTTGGAGGACATTTAAATAAAAATGAGGAAAAGTGCTTTCATAACGCGTGGGCAGTTATTTATGCGCGAAGTGGTACACATCTTTATAAAATAAAGTTCAGGAGGACGATGAGTAGCGAAGTATAAGGGAAGAAATTCTTGTCAAGAAAACAGGAAAAAGTGTGTTGAATTTGAATAGCAAGAAAACGAGAGAGAAAATCTGAATTGCAAGAGCCGCGGTCGTTTTCTACAAAGGCCATTGTCCGTTATTCGGGGCTCGGTTATGCTAAACAGCCTCAAGAATTCAGCATTAATTTAACAGTGTGCAACAAGGATGAAAGCGTGCGTGAAAAAGCGTCCCTTGTTTTTCAAATCTCGTTGGATTTTCTCGTTAAATGGTTCGTGAAACACGTGAACCTATCCGAGGCGAAGAAGAAAATCAATTTCAATCTGATTGTGCATAATATCCCGTGTTGCATACATGTTTTACACAATTTACCATAAGCGATAATAGAGTATTTTTTTATCATTATTCCCCATTAATTGCATCATGTATAAACATTGACACGAATGAGACAGTCCGATGTTGAAACGAAATCATTTTGCAATTAAGTCATCCTTTTATTTTATAACGTATCAGAGATGTAGACGTTTCTCTCGTTAGTGCCGGTGCTTTGGAACCGATTAGAAATGAAACGACCGTGTTGCGTGCGGGCTCGATTGCAAATTAAATCCTTACGTGTGCAATACCACGTTTAGCGTAATCGCAATCGCAATAAAATCAACCGACCGGCGATGTTTCGCGATTTAGGATGCGTGGTTAATCCTAATTGTGCGGTTCAGGTAGAAAGCGTAAACAGAATGAAAACTCAAAGCAAATAACATAATTAAGCAATACTTCATTAAACAAAGTAATATTAATCATTTGCATCATAAGCGCATACATGCGCCGAATTGCATTTTGAAAAATCTTTATACAATAATTAAAATTTTGTGCTGTGGATCAATTTTGCATTTTCCAAATGATGCAAAGGGGTAACGTGCACATTAATGGATATAAACGTCGTAACTGGATTAAAAATAATTCATGAATTATTTTATAATGCTCACCGCGAGGATTGGCGGCTCCAAATTCAGATCGATGGGGTTCATCACGATGAAGACCTGCTGGTTCTTGTGCGTCAAACCGCCGGGCTCGCGGAGTGCAGCCTTGCAATAATATTGTACCCAGCCATGTTTACCCAGGAAGGTAGACGGCAGGCCCAGGGGTAAGCCTAATTTGAATGGAAAGCTGTGGATACCCGGCGATAGCAGCGACGGTCCCTCTCCTGATTATTCAGGCGTCGTATATGTAGCCGGCAACAAAACATCGAACGAGGAACAGTTTTTATATTGTTATGCGAGTCGCAGCGCGCAGGTGTGCCGTGGACAATTTTTACAATACCGCCAGGATATTGAACTCGAGTATTGACGGCTTTTGTGCAGAGTTTAATACTCGAGCTGATTAAAAGTATCGACAGGGTTTGCTGAATACATCACAGGAATTTATTAATCATATTTGTAATTCATTATATTTGGAAGAACGAAGAATTATGAATTTTATTTAGTCAAAAACTGAACTTCGGTCTGAATAATTAATCGGGCATTGCGTATAGCCAAATGTGTAAAGCTAGTCTATTTGTTAAAACGTTGTTGGCCGCTGGTTTATTAGCCAGGGCCACATTATCTAAGGTTCATCGTGTCCGTCTTAACGGGTTACATTAAATGTACCGTAATACAATTTCTTTTCATTACCTGGCTCACCCAGCAATCTCATACGAAAATCAATGTAGTTCTCTTTGTCGTAGACCCTCTCGGCGCGTTGGCTGCGTACACGCACTACTCCTTCTCCGATCACATGAAAATGCAAACCTGAAACACTACAATAGAATACATTGTTAAAATAGAGAAAGAAATTAAGCACGCGGTATGAAATAATTGAAATAAATGTTTGTTAAAAGTGAACGCGGACTGAAGGTACAAAAGGAACAATGGGTCGATTAAAAGTGAGAGGAGCTTATAAATATTTTATTCGCTGCACTTTCTAGAAAGTAGTCTAATTTCGTTGACACCTGGAAGTTGTTAAATCGAATTAAAATTCTGCGGGCTCGCTGCGTGTAATTGCATAGTGGAAAAAGCTTGTGCACGTTAACGGGACACGTTGTTTCACGGTATGACCACAAAGTAGAAAGTTTAATTTTAAATATTCATCAAACACCAAACAAATGAGATAGATACACAGTTTTCAATTATTTACTCGTTTATTTGCAATCAGACGTGTCATGGATAATATTTTTAAAATTGTTTCTCTATAACAGAAGATATTACGCGAGTCCATCATGACTGAAGTAATTATTTGACGTAATCCACGCTTTCACGTGAATGCTGATGCCTCAACAGAGAAGAGCGATTTATTTCTTTAATTACTGTCATTAGTCATCGGACGATTAAACTGTTGACATGTCCTTAACACGTTTAAGTACTAACATCGAAATTTCGTGCAATGATACTTACTAGGCCTCGTCGTCCAGTTCGATGAGCACACGGCCCGACAGAAAGTGACCGGGAAAGTACAACAGGTTCGTGTTGTCGAACAGTATCAAAAATTTGCTCAACTTTCGCGTCATCGTCCCGGATCGTTCAAGGATGATCGTTCACGTCAGCACGGGCCCGCGACAGAACCGATTATGATTACGCACCGAGACTTTGAAATTCCTTGCAGCGGGGGCCGCGTGCATGTCAGCGAGGAATCACTGCCAGACACTGGAACGTGCCAGTGATCGAACCAAGCTCATAACCTTGCGCACGCTGCGTTTCTCTCTTTGGAATCCACGGGTAAACCTCATTCGACCGGCCAGCCTTCCGATCGAGTCCCGTCCACTTTCATTTTCCTCGGACTCTGATACGATAAATCCCGATCGAAGCCAGTCGATCCCAACGATCGGTGGAGAACGATTGATAACGAAGAGCACCCACGCTACTATCCGTCAAACTTTATGCCGCTGGCTCAAGGAGCCTCGTCTCTTCCTGCCCATTCTTGGAGCTGTGTTCACTTTCGCTCCCCTACCTGTGTCGTCGCTTCCACCTCCAGCCGAACGTAATTATGTATCTACCTGCCTTCCTCCGTCGGCCAATGGAGAACAGCTACCAGTTCACCAAGCCCCAGGATTACGTAGATCGTTTCGCTTTACCGCGTTGCTGTACTTCAACTGACTGTACATCGATGAATAAACTCGATAAGGCTCGTTTAGCATAGATCCCTATCCCAACCCAACTCGTGGGTACATTTTCCAAGTATTCTTTATTGCGCTAACGGTTCAAACTCCTTATTTCCACGGTTTGAACCCTTTCCATCCAGGAACCCGTGGGTGTCTTCAGGCTTTTCATTAGTACGCGAATAGTAATCGATACCTACTCTGATTTTCTTTGAAGCATTTTAAGTTCTTTTACAGTAAATGTAATCATTTGTTTATATCGTTAAATATATAAGGTACATTTCCTAAAAATTCTTTTTTACACTAGAATTTATTACACTAACGGTTCAAGTTGCTTATTTCCACGGCTTGAACCCTTTCCAGTTTTTAACCCTTTGGTATTTGTAAGTGTCTGAAGGTGTATTTAGTATGCGAATGAAGATAATGATCGAAGTTTTGGTCAATTCGAGTTTCGGTTCGAATTATTCTTAGCACAGATTAACATTTATTTCTTTTAAAATATTTTAACGCAGTCACTTAGTGTTGGTTTACTGTGTTAATAAATTTTCAGCAAAAATAAATAATAATCGCCTGGGTAAAATTTAAATAACGATTGTAACGGCCTCTTGTGGAAGCGGTCCCCATGGTGGGGGAAGCGTCGTGCGCTTCTCTGACAACTAAGGTCAGTACGCGCATCAGTGCGTCAGTGACTGGCAGCAGGGAGTTCATAATTTTTCCCGCACGGCTCGCTTCCCCTCTTTTTCGCCCGTATTTCGATCCCCACTACTATTCTCCTCATGCGCCTTCCCTAACCATGCCTACTATACCCCCACCAAGTATTGGTCCCTACCATGGTCGCGTCGTCCCCATTTTCCGGCCGAGGGAAAAATTATGAGGTCCCTGATGGCGATGGCGGTCAGTTTTCGCCATTTTAGCAGTGTGAGTAGATGTAAGTGTCGATATGACAATGGAAACAAAAGTAATAAACCAGAAAGAATATTTGAAGAAATATCTATCCTCTGGAGATGTCGAGGACAAAAAGAAGAAAAAGAAAAAGACGAAACTGGGACAGAGAACGTAAGTTGCCGTCTAGGAATACTTCTGCTGGTGTCGACGGTTTCAACAAGAGACCCTTGTGTTTTAGGTTATAGTAATTGTTTACCTCCTGGGGTACATTGAATATTTGACAAAAATAAAAACAAATGTATTTCGTTTATTGTTAGCTCGTTAATTCATGGGAAGGAGTATTTTCGAAGCCAATTGCAAAATTGATGATTTAACCAACGTTAATGAATAGTAAACTGATCACGAGGATTTGCTCGTTTCTTTGCACCAATATTTGAGATGTGTTTTCCAGAGTGAAGGTCATTGACGATGACTTAGACCTCAAGAATATGAGACCGATGGAAGAGAATGAATTTGATATCTTCATCGACGCAGAAGATGCACCACAAATTGCCGGAGTGGTGGACGAACGTGGACCAGTCGATTTCTCTGATAAAAGGAGATGGAAAATTATGGCTAATGACGAAGGCGGCGATTTAACCGTCACTAGTGTAAATAAAGAAGTTAGGCAGTCCAGGCAAACTCGAGATGAATCTGACAATGACAAAAGTCCACCGAGAAGACAACAGAGACGTTTGGATGACGACTTGTCTCCTCCAAGGGCATCTAAAAAGCAGAAGAAATCAAGAAGAGACGAGGACAGTGATTTAAGTCCACCGAGAATAAAATCGAAAAAGAAAAAACAAAACAGCGATAGTGAAGATGCTCAACTAAACATTCCAGAACATAAGATCAATAAGAAAGCAAAAATGAAAGAGAAAGTATCATCTCCTGACTCTGATTCGAGTCCACCTAGAAGGAACAATCAATACGATTTTGATTTAAGTCCTCCAAGGAAAAGTAAGAAACACAGGTCTGAAAAACATAAAGAGAAAAATGGCTCAGACCTCAGTCCTCTTAGAAGAAGGAGAAAGGACTCTGATTCGGATCTCAGTCCTCCTAGAAAAAGTAGGAAAGATGTTGATACCGATTTGAGCCCACCAAGAAATAGAAGAAATAAAAATTATGATTCAGATTTGAGTCCACCAAGAAAAAATAAGAAGCATAAATCTAAGCAGCGGGATTCTGATTCAGATCTTAGTCCGCCGAGACAGCGGAAGAGACACATGGATTCGGATGCCAAGAGAAATAATCTGAGTCCACCAAGACAACATAAGCATAGGGACGAAAGATCAGATCGCGATAGGAATCACAAATATTCCGAGAGGAATGATAAAAGAAATTACGAATCAAACATGAGTCCACCTCGTAGGAGAAATAGGAACGTAGACACAAGTACGAATAGATTTAAAGAAGACGACAGGAATTTTCATAAATATCAATCGAGCAAACATGAGAGTAGGCGCGATCATGATTACAAATATCGTTCCCATAGAGATAATAGAGAGGATTTCCATAATAAGGAGAGGAAATCGAGGTACAGAGGTTCTGACGAAGAAGACAACGATAAACGCATGAAGAAGACACTGGATGGCAAGACAGCAGGATTGCAAAATGCAAAAGCACTGCGAGAAGAGACAGAGGCGTACAAAAAACGCGAAGCCGAACATTTCAGCAAGGTACGTACAGAAATTTCACATCTCTTTATTTTTTTCACACGAGAATTATACTGATCTTTTAATTTCCAGCTGAGCAAAGAAGTTACCGGGGTCGGTCAAGCTACGGTTGTACGTGATACTAAAACTGGCCGGAAACGTAACTTGGAAGCGGAAGCAGCAGAAGAACGTGAGAAACAAAAACGGCAGGAGGAATTGGATGAAAAATATGCGAAATGGGGAAAAGGGTAAGTAAACGTCCAGCTCTTCGTAAAATAAGATTTTATTGTAAATACAGTAAAAATTTAAGGTTTGTTATTACAGTCTAAAGCAAGTTGGCGACCGTGAAGAAAAACTGAAAGACGATCTTTACGAAATGAGTAAACCCTTAGCAAGATATGCTGATGATGCTGATTTGGACAAGAGACTCAGAGAACAGGACAGAGAAGGTGATCCCATGTTGGAATATATTAAACAGAAACAAATAAAGGAAGGAAAACGGAAACCAGGTAGCGTATCGCACTCTTTCGAGATTCAATTCCTCAGATTTAATTTATTTACAATTACGTGATATTTATTACAGATGCACCAAAATATGAGGGCTCGTTCATGCCAAATCGTTTCGGTATCAAACCCGGCCACAGATGGGATGGTGTTGACAGAAGCAATGGATACGAGAAGCGATGGTTCGAGGCTCAAAACGCAAAGCTGGCTCGTCAAGAAGAAGCTTACAAATGGAGTACTTCTGATATGTAAAATACACTGATTTCATTATTACTTATCACACAAGGAGTAATGAATCGAAGAATCGAAATTGTAAAATACAATTTCTGTTGTTTAACCTAATGCACAAGCCTGTTTAATTTTTTTTATCAAGACCGTCTCAATCCCCTATCGGTGGAGAGAATCGCGCATGCCGAAGGAACGTTAAAAATGCAGGTAGTAGTTGTCAGTACCATTCCCAAGATCAGTCACGCGACGAACGCGAACAGATATGTGAGTCGCGTCCGTGAATATGAATCATCATACGGGATTATCAAAACTGGGAAATCGATATTCGTTCCAGAAAACGAGAAGACCTGGCGCCGGTCCGCTGGTCTCGTTTCAATGCAACAAAACAACCGTGCGATGTGTCCGCTTATGAAATCGATTGAACCTTGGAAAACAACGGTTGTCTTTGCACAGAGTGCGAGCAATTGGGAGTGGTCGTACACTTTAGACTTGTTTGTTCGGTTCTTAGAAAAAAGAACAGGCAGCACGCGTTCACGTCGGCGAATTTGCTTGCCGCGAAGTTTTTGCGGTGGCCGCGTCGCAGCGCATTGTTATCGGTCTTCGCGCGCACATAGTCGTTACGCGTACGCACACAGATAAACGGGAATATATATCGACTCGCGTAGTCGCGACGCAAGGGCAGGGTCGTCGCCGGTTGTCAGTACGCCTCGCAACGCCGCGCCGACGGGAACTAGTGTGTTCGTGCTTTGACACCCGTAGGTTAGACGTTCTAGTGTTCGCCGGTTATACAAGTAGCTTTTGTACAGTGTTTTATCTAGTATATGTAATTATATATGTATATATATTTTTGTTAACCAGCCGGTATACGCGAACCGATCGAATTTTACGATACGTCCAGTTTGACCAACTGTGCGAAATCATTTGTATTTTCGTCCCGACGAATCGCTAGACGTGCCGGTACCACGGCGTGCCGTTCGTTCACCCCTCTGTCCGGTCCACGAGAGAGTCGAACGTACAAAAAAAGAACGCGAGGAACGTCGGAAATATACCGTGCTGTGATCGCTTTTTCGCACCAAATCGAATTCGTCCTTGTCGAGGATACGTCCGAAGAGGCGGCCCTTTTTTTCGATACGACTTCCCGTACATTCGAACGACCCTCTCTCGATGTTAACGAGAAAACCGCTTAGTCGATCGTAATCGCGAATTACACGGGCGAGTGTCGCGAGTACGTAGAAACGGTGGGCGTTTGCGATCGGAGGATACAGAAGGAATCGAGTGGATAGGAGAAAAGGAAGAGGAGCGAGAACAGGCGAGTGAAAATGGGGTGCAACACGAGCAAGGAGAGTGTCCAGCCGGTGGCGAATGAAGCGAAGGAAGACGCGAAGAACGGCGGTTAGTAAATTAATTTCCTTTGCTCGTTTTCTTATTTATTTATTGTAAACGTGATACGAGTGTTTCGTCGGAACTTTAATATCCGTTTTCAGCATGCTGGCCTTTTACCGTGTAGAAAATGATATTCTATATGATATGTTCAAAAAAAGAAAGTACGCGCATAGAAATACGTCCTAGCCGAATTTTGAAAAATTGTGGTCTATTTAGAGAGTGCTCTTTGCCTACGAGTGTGAATGAACTTGTATTGCTTTATTGTAAGAGACACTTAAATCGTACGTAGTTATCCACTTAAAGAGTGAGAACAATTCATTTCGAATATCAAAACAATATACTCTCTCTTTGAACCGTGGAAAACGATTTCAATATTGTTGAGTGACTCGTTTTCCATTTGATGCATTAAATTGGTCGAGTAGTCGGTTATTTTAATTCCGCGATGAGATCACCGTGAGGAAGTAGCTGAAAATCGCTTGCAAAGTCGTCGAAGGCCAGGAACGTTTCCTCGAATGTTTTCCTCGCCTTTTGAAGGACAGATTCGAAGAATTACTTATGAGCTTTTTTTTCCATACCGGGTCCTTCGAAGTTGTTCATGTCGCCCGTGGTTGTCGCGACGCTCGTTGTACGAAAACGCCGGGAATCTCGCGAGCGTTAACGAAATCCTAATGAAATCGATCCGCGGGACGGCTTTCGTATTCCGTACTAAAATTCTACCAAGAATACGATTCGAGCGAGATTCTGGCTAACGAAGCTTGCGATTAAGAACTTTTTTAATCCTACGCTCGGGCTGGGACATAATTTCAATGGGTAGTTTTGGCATTATTACTCGAGTTTACGGTGTTTTCTCGGTCC